TTCTAACTTATTACTAAATGTTTGATAATAAAGTACTGAACTTGCTGTCAAAAAAATATGTTTGATACTCGTAATGCAGTACTATGTTTTTGCAGTTTATTGAAAAACTACAACTGCATGTTAAGATGTTAAAGATATATGACAACAACTCAGTTTTTATTTTAATGCTGGGGAAACGATTTTGTACTTAAAATGTCGGATTACAGGATTTATTAGAATAAGTTTGTTTAAAATTTCGTTATTACTTTAATAAAAAATTGAAATTTCTATTTCAGTGAACTGAAAATAATGAAATATTTAATTTTGTGGTTTCATTTTTGAAACTTTGAAAAACATATGTTAATCTTAGAACCTTCGCAACTAAAAAAAGCTGTAGTTTTTGAAGCTGCGTCTTTCTGTCGAAAGTTATTTAAGTTTTAAGTTAGAAATTCAAAAGCATATTGCATTATCAAAAACACACATACCTTAACTTCCAAAATGCAGGAATTCGGTGTTAATACATAATTCAGCAATTCACACTTATAAGCTAAATTGTGTATTTATTTCGAATTACTGCATTTCGAAAGTCAAGGTTATTTACCAATCATTTGTCGCTTAATACATCAAGTTAACCTTAGATACATTATAGATGTACGATACCCAGAATTTGTGAAAAAGAATTGCCAGTCTCATTATAACCAATCAAAATTTTATCATTCGAAAAACTATGAAAGGATCATTTTTAAATTATATTATATTTTATAAATGTAAATTGAAAAAAGAAATTATAATAAAAAAAGAGGGTATGTATGTAATATGGTAGATATGTAATGCTCAATAAATTGAGACTGCTTAGTGATTTCGCTTTCATCCTACTACTCATACATAAAAAGAACAGATTTCCTATACACATTTCATTAAGATTAAAATGAATTATTGTTAATGCGATTGTTTCACAAAAACAATTAAAATTAAAACAAAAAAAAAGTGAATTTTTCCTTGGCTCTTCTCCAAAATGTATTATTGATCAGACAACAGATAAGATGTTTACAAGACAATAAAAAAATTGATATCTTTTTAACTAATGTACCTACATTTTAATCCAACCCGCATTGTATTAATATCCTAATCAAAATTCCTTTATATATAAATATTATGCACGTGAGATAAAAATTTTGGAATATCGATTTATATTTAAAATCTCATTTATTTTCTCTCCAAAAACGAATTCTCTTTGAATCATATATCTTTTAGGCTCCTCTTCAACAAAAAAAAAACAAAAAAAAATTTGAATAAAAAACAATAAAACAAAAAAAATAAAAATATTAAATTAATCAAAATATTGCACGTATACATACATAATATACCGCTTCTATGTACGTATACCAGTGTGAATATATTAAATTTCCCACTCATAAATTATTGACGACCTACAACTTTTGAATCATTTAATAAATTAAATTCTTAATTTGGTTGTTCCAAAAATACAAAATTCAATCACTTTCACATCATTGGCAAAGAAATCAAAAATTAGGCCAAAATTTATTCAGCAATTTAAATTGTATGTATATTGTTGAATTAAACAAATTAAAATTAGAAATTTATATTGTATTGCTATGAGTAAGTCAAGTTCAAAGATCAAGATCTGCATTTTGGTAGATACCCATAGAAATATGTATTCTTTCCGTAAATAATATGAAGAAATATTCTTTCTTTCTAGAATTATAAAAATAACTTTTCTTATTAAAAATTACTAGCCGACTTTCATATAATTATATAACAGTTAATAATAATTACCTGTTAATAATCAATTATTATATTAGAGAAATAAATGGAGTTCAACGTTATAATAACACAAACTTCCAAAATGTAGTTGAACGATATGGAAATATAATTCAGCAATTTTGGAAAATAAAGAAATATAAATTCTTAAATATGTTAAAGAGAATTCCTTATATTGAATTTTAAAATTGTATATTCTGCATTATAGAAAAAATGCAAAAAGAATCAATACAAATAATTGTACTTGGATTGAATTTGATTGATATGTTCCAAATCACATTATGGAACTTTATCTTGGTATTGGTGATAATGAAAACGTTGACAAAAGTAAAATTTAATATTTCATTATAGTAGCTATCAAATTTTGAAAAAAATTGATAGCTACTATAATGTGGAAACGATATTTTTAAGAACAACCAAATTTTGAATTAAAAAAATATAAATTCATACATATATTAAATAAAAAAATATATCATATATATATATATATAAATATATGTATATAATAAAAAAACTATAAAATATAAACACAAATATAAAATTTAATTTCTTTCTAAAACAAAGTCATAATTAAAATTAAAAATATAAGAAAATTTGTTTACTATTATTTTAAAAATAAAATTATGAAAAGTAATTCATTATTTGTTTTCGGAATTTATTCTAGTATTTAAAAAAGTGTGAGAGAGATAAAGAGACAGAGAGAGACGGAGGCAGAGAAAAAGAGAAAGATATATATATATTTTTATGTCAAAAACCATAGATTAAATAAAAATGAGAAAAAATAAATAGTAAGAGATATATATATATATAAAAAGAGAGAGAAGAGAAATTCAAGTAAAAAGAGGATGTTGAAACAAACGAATTATATTAACAAAATAATAACAATAAAAAAAATTGATATAAAAAATGTTGGGAAAGAGGTTTCATAGCTAATGAATATTAAACAAAAATTAAAAATAAAATAGAAAAAATACAATCTTAAATTAAAAAATTTCAAAACTGAAACTAAAAATGATGATAAATTAAAGATATTAATTTCAACAAATAAAAAAATAAAAATTGCTTACCACAAAAAATAAAAAAAAAGTTCTATTTAATGCAACCCCTGACTTCAAAATTGCAATAATATGATATTAATACACAAATCAACTTATAAGTTTTAATTGCTGAATTATGTATAGCAATAAAATGTTACTGCAATTTTGATCTCACGCAGTTCTTTTTATTTTTCCACATTATTTTATATTTTTTAAGCTAAAAAACACAAAACTTGGCAATTTAAAGTGACAGAAAAAATATTTTTGATATTAATATTTAATTATAGAATAGTTTGTCACTATATAGCTGATTTTTGATCGAAGTTATGACCAACATATTGCTCCAGTTTTGATAATTTCGAAGCTCTTGTGTCACACAAATCTTTACGTATTTTTTTTTTAAATCTGATTTTCTATAACCTTTCAAAACTATTCTTATTCGAATCCTCCGCCAATCACATTAATAATTTTTTAAATAATTTCCATCGAATAGTACCCGATTTGAGCATATTATCAATAATTAAATAATATAATTAAGTAAACAAAATTAAATTATTTTCATTTAGATTTTCTTCTTACAGAATCAATTTTCATATGGTTTGAATTATCCAGTTTTTTTTTTTTTTTTTTTTGAAAAATTACATAATACTAATTTGACTATTTAACATATACAGGGTGTTTCGCTTAAGGTGGCAAATAATTTTAGGGATGATTCTTTCATGAATTTTTCCAGCAAAAAATTAAATGGGTGCAAATTGCCGATTTTTCCTGCATATAAATAATTGTTATTTATTAATATGCGTGGCTTTTTTCAAGCGATTAAATGCTCCTCGTTTTCTGTTTTATAATCAATAGGATTTGAGCCATAGTTTTCGAGATAAAGCTCGTCAAAATCAGAATACTTATTTTTTTTGAAATTTTTTCAAAAAACTCAAAATTTCTCGAAAATGTGTGTTATTTTTTTTGCTTTTTTTCGAAGCGCTCATCGTAGCTCATCGAACTAAAAGTTTACCAATATAACATTTTCCTCTACCTCTCATGACCTTGTTAAATGTGTTTAAAAAAACATGCGAAAAATGCATATTTCACAGATTTCATACAAATTCTATAATTTTCAGATTAAATTAAACCTTTTGCGAATTAAATTTAACTTTTTGCGAATAGGATTAACACTTTTGCAAAAGGGTTAATTTAATATGAAAATGCTATATACATAGCAAACTAAAAAAATGTAAATGTTGTGTTTGTACGAGATGTGTGAAAAACATTTACAGCAATCAACTGCATGTAAAACAAGCTCCGGATGGTCACTATGTCGCATGGTCCTAAAGTTATAAGCATTTATTTATATGCAGGAAGAATGTGATACTTTTTTTCAGCAGATTGTAGATCGAAAACGAATATGTTTGAATCCCCCACCCCCTTCTCATATAGCCTTTTGCTGAAAATTGATCAAAGAATCATTCCTGAAATAATTTGCCACCTTATGCGAAAGATCCGTATACATATATATAATATATTTTGTTTCAATGAATGAATATATTATGTGATTACTATAGTATAATAAATTGATTTTGTAGTCCGAGTTTAATAATCGAATAAATAATTTTTTAAATACATTGTTCAATTATTTGTTTTAATGATTTTTATTTGTAAATAATGTGAAAATTTTTAAATAGAACTTTTTTATAAAAACTTAAATTTAAGTTATGTTATTTTTTTTCTAGTTTTATTATGTATACATTTTTCTTTTTTTTATTATATTCTAGAAATTTTTTTACGTTTGGTTTTTTTACTAATTTAAATACATTTCTAGTTTTTGCCTACCATATTTATAGAATATAAATAATATATATGTATGTATATATAAATGTATATAAATATACAAAAGATATATATATTACATATAAATATATATATACATACATACGTATATTTAATGAATTTCATTTGATGTTTTTATATCTAGAGTATTAAACAAAAAACTAAAACTAATTTTTGGTGTAAAATTATAAAAAGTGTTTTTTTTTTTTTTAAATAAAATAAAAAAAATTGGATTTTTCTTTCGGAAATAACATTTGAAAAATATAATGAAAAAAACACTGGATATTTTTTTTGATATAAGAAATAAGAAATAAAAAAAAGGTAAATAAATAAAAAAAGAAAAAGAAAAAAAAGAATTGGAAAAATTAAAAAGCATACCTGTGTTTGTAAACGTGTAAGACCACGTATCCATAAAATTTGTCCAGCTCGAGGTTTTTTATCTGAATCCAGTGAATCGAAACGTTCATCACCTAAGTTAATTGCTTCCGTATATTCTTCAGGGTGACCCCGACCCCATCTGCAATTTAATTAAATAATAAAAAGAAATATTAGAAAGATATTTCAAATTCAATAATCTAAATTATATAATGATGTTAAGATATTCATTTTTGAAAAAACACAAATTTATAAATTACTGATATTTGTACTTAGTAGACATAGTTTAAAATTAAAAAAAAAACTGAAATAAAATACTTACGATAATATTTTAGGTAATTTTCTAGTAGGCACTGTTGTGATTATTTGACCCCAAACTAATGTTCCAACACCAAATAATATACACCATAGCCATTGCTCAAGTGTAAGTGCTTTAGTTGCAAAAGCCATTTTACCATATTGAACTATAACTACCTATGACAAAATTTGCATTATTGTATAATAGTAATAGTTAATGCAAAAAAAAAATTGTGGTAATAATTTTTGTTTTCGATTAAATATTTTCCGTTACATCTATTTATAATACATATTATAACTATTAAAAACAAAAATTTTTTGATTTTTCAGAAAAAAATAGTAAAGATAAATGTAAATATTTAATTTTCAATCATTTATAAACCTAAATATAGATATATGAAAATATATATATTTAAATACACGTAAATATATCTTATACTAACAAAATAAACTTACTTGGGATATACAGGTAAATATCCATATAGAATAGAAAATAGGATTTGTGAAAAGACCTTGAACAACATTTCTTTGTCCGTGAATTTTTCTAGCATTAATTTCATTAAATAATGTCATCATTACAAATGTATTAAATATAACTGTAAAATGTTGTGTTGGTCCAGCTGCAAGATCTTGACCTCTACCAGACTCAATATTCAATAATATATCACCTGGAAATGAAAAAAAAAGTTAGCCCAGTGTGTGATGCAAAAAAAACCAAGTAAAGCAAATTAAATTTCATAGTCAAATAACAAAACATTGAATTTCATAAAAAAAAAAATTTCATCTCAAATTTGTAATATCGTAAATGAAAACTAAACAAGTAAAAACGTTTCTGTCGTATAAATCGACCGAATTATACCCTGCACCTTGGCAATCTGAGTTAAAACTTGTTCTTGAAATATTTAGAATTAGCTTTCATTGTCGTATACTAAGTGCTGGAATCTGTCAAGTTATTCCAACAAAACTTCAGGGATATATGTAAACTATAATTGGACACATCGGTGCCAAGTTTCATAGCTCTGACTTTATTATTTTTCCGAATACTTAAAATTAGCTTTTGGAGTTGTATGGCAGCTACCCGAAACAGTCAAATCATTTACCAAACCTTCAGAAATGTATGTGACCTATAATTAGACACGCGACTGTCAAGTTTCAGAAATCTGATTTTATTATTTTTTCAATTATTTAAAATTAGCTTTTGGAGTTGTATGACAGCTACCCGAACCAGGGCTCTACATATGTAGAGTGTAATTGAACACATTTAAAATTAATATCTTTATTAGTTTTTGAATTATTTAAAAAACACTTTTTCAGATGTATGCAGCTACCCGAACCCGTTGTTCGAATTTTTTTAATTACAATAGAAGCGATCCTTGGTAGAAAAGAAACAACTTGTGAAAGGTTGATGTCGATTGCATTATTCGTTTTTGGGTTATCATGCGACCGGATGGGCAATCAACGCAGAATGGTTACAAACTCCATACCAAAGAGAAAATACTCTTCACTAAGGTGCAGTTATTATTTTTATGCATAAAAATAATAACTTACCAGCAAATAATAAAGAAAATATAACTGTTAGTTGATATATTGCTTGGCCTAATATATTTTTCATCATTGTGCGTGATATTAAAGGTTTCGTACGACCATATGGTTTACGTAATAATAAATCAGGTGTTGGAAGTTCAGTAGCTAAAGCTAAAGACGCTAATGTGTCCATAATTAGATTCACCCACAACATTTGAACGGCCTAAAAGTAAAAAATATAAACATTAAATTAAACTTATTTTTGGGAACATAAAAATAAAAATAATAATAATAATTTACTTTTAATGGGGAATCTTGAACAGCACAGGCACCTATAAATGCAACAATTACGGCTACGACATTAACTGTCAATTGAAATTGTAAAAATTTCGCAATTGAATCATAAACATTGCGTCCCCACATAACAGCCTTAACGATACTACTAAAATTATCATCTGTCAATATAATATCGGAAGCTTCTTTAGCAACATCAGTTCCAGCAATACCCATTGCGAAACCAACATCGGCTTTCTTTAAGGCTGGACCATCATTAGTACCATCACCGGTAACGGCAACAACTTCACGATTTTCACTAACTTTACTATCAATTATACCTATAAATTGAGAAAATTTTATATAAATAACGATATTATATATTATAAATATAAATTTAATAAAGGCAATAAATGAAGAAATCAAAACTAAAAAAAATTTTGGAATACCTTTAACCAAAGTATATTTATCTGTTGGTGATGATCTAGCAAGAACCCTAAGTTTTGGCCAAACTTTATCAATAAGATGCTGTTGAACCTTTTTAGTACATATAAAATATTTTTTTCGATTAATATTTTAATATAATTTATATACATATGTATATTAGTAAAATATATGTTTACATGTACACACATATTTATATATTAACATATTTCACTTACATCACCATTACTATCTCGAATTCTTCTATTGAATTCTTTACCTTCCAGTATAAGAAAATCTTCATTAGGTCTTATAATACCACATTTTGTGGCAATGGAACGTGCTGTATTTATATTATCACCAGTAACCATACGAACTGTAATACCAGCTCTTTGGCATCGTCTAATAGCATCGGGTACTTCAGGACGGACAGGATCTTCAATACCAACAACACATATACATGTTAAATTACTAACAATATTTTCTTCGTCATCCCAATTTGGTTCATTATCAATATGAACCTCATTTATTGATGCTTTTCCTGGTACAAAATCACGATAAGCAACTGATATAGTACGTAAACCATCACACGCCATTGGTTCAATAACTTCACGTATTAAACGATCTTGCATATCTCTTGTAAATTTCTCTAATTCGCCATTATGACCATAAATGAAAGCACATCTTCATCAAAATGATATAAAAAAAATTGTAATTATGTATTTTAATTATTACTAAATTTCCTTATATTTCACACTAATATCTCGCACAATTTCCATAAGAACTTTGAAAAATGTGTTTTTTGGTAGAATGAAATAAAATTGGCATTTCATTTTTTTTGTGTAAATTGCCTGTGTGTATACATACATACTTACATATAAATAACCTAAATATTCACTCACTTTTTAAGTACAATTTCAGATGCTCCTTTACAATATAATCTATAACCACCACCTGGTTTTGGTATAACGGAACTCATTGACTTTCTAACCGAATTGAAAGTATAAACACGAATAAATTTATCCTCTGGATATTCTTCCCTAACAGCTTGATAACTCATACCTAAGCCTTGTACAAAACCTAAAAGAGCACACTCAGTTTTATTACCAACTTGTATACTTGGATCACCAGGATTTTGCCCAGGCTAAAACGACAAATAAAAAAGATAAAGAATCAATATAAACGTATTAGGTTTTTCTACAAAATATTTACATAAAATTACATATGTATTATACATATTCTATATATTTGTCATTTGACTTCAATTACTTACTATAATTTTTGATGTAAATGCCGAATTAACCGATATACCTTGAACTATTAAGTTACCAACATTCGATGGAATATCAGAAAATTTTGGTGTAACCTTACATAATTTTTCACATATATATGATTGAACAACGGTCATACGATTTGTAGTTAAAGTTCCAGTCTTGTCAGAACAAATGGCAGTGGCATTACCCATTGTTTCACATGCATCCAAATGCCGAACCAAGTTGTTATCTTTCATCATTTTCTATAAATAACAAAAAATAAGTAAATAAAATTATTAAGAAATTTATCTTAATTTTTTTTTAAAAATACACAACTTTCATTAATCTTTAATTGCTTTTTTTCATACAGATTTGAAATTACAAGATCATAGAATTTCATAGAAATTCATTTAAATAATTTTTTAGCGCATTTATTTTAGCCCAGATTTACACTTGCTTACATATGAAAACTTCTAAATGACGTTTCCAATTGTGGGATTTTTTGCAATAATAAGAATTAATACTTGAAACAAAGTATATCTATGGAAGAAGTAGTTCGACTCTCCGTTTACATCACACTAATAACACCACTCACCAATTTTTGTACACAAAAAATTCCCTTAGCTAAAAGAATGTAGCCTCTTATTTTTCTTTTTATACACATATCAACTTTTGCAAGAGGAAAAGTACAGTACGCAATAGGTGTCTACCTGTTTTTTTATAATATATTTTTAGAGGCCCACAAAACCTCTTCTGTAATTTATTTTAGCACAAGGTGTCAAAAATGGTGCATCCATATTATAAAAACGAAGCGATTTAAAAAAAAAAGAGTATTAAAATAAAAAAAATATTTGTAATTTATATGTATATAATTTTAAAAAATAATAAAAAAAACGAACAATGCAATCGGTACCAAACTTTCACAAGTTGTTTCTTTTCTGACAGTTGAATTCAGACAACGGGTTCGCGTTGTCACACAACTCAAAAAGTTTTTTTTAAATATTTCAAAAACTAATAAAGATTAATTTTAAATGTGTTCAATTACACTCTACATATGTAGAGCCCTGGTTCGGGTAGCTGTCATACAACTCCAGAAGCTAATATTAAATATTTGGAAATATAATAAAGTCATATTCATGAAACTTGGCAGTTGTGTGTCCGATTATAGATCAGATATATTTGTGAAGTTTGATGGAGTTGCTTGACTGGTTCAAGTACTTGCCATAAAACTCCAAAAGCTAATTTTAAATATTTGGAAAAATTATAAAGTCAGATTCATGAAACTTGGCAGTCGGATGTCCAATTATAGGTCAGACATATCCGTGAAGTTTCTATAAATTAATTTCACAGGTTCGAGTAATTGCAATCGGTTTATGCCGAATGAAACATTTTTACTTGTTCTTTATAAATTATTTTATTTGTGTACCTCGCCTATATTGCGGCTTTTGTACTTGAAGTGAATGAACTCGAAACTCAAGCTGCGTTTTCACTATGTGGTAAACGAGGTTTAGCTATTAAATTTCAAATCATTATTGACATTTCAAGTCAAGTAAGCAAAATTATTTGTTGACTTGAGTGTAGCCGACTTCAAGTCAAGTAACGTTTAAATAAACATGAAATAGGCTTTAAGCAGCCATATAACCGGGTATATACATATTGTTACACCATATTGTGTACCTACTTTGCATATGTACATTTTGAAATTTTTAACTTATATATATTGGTTTTATACATTCGAATGTTTTTTGATTTTTATGAAATGAAAAATAAAATGATATGAGGAATAAATTTTGTTGCTATAAAAATAACAAAATTTTTACCTAACTTAATTTAATGTTAGTTCAATTCGATATTTTTGACATATTCGTTTATTTACAATGTCTTGGTTCTTTCTTGCCTACACAACTCTTATTCCCATCTATTTCTTAACACATTGTTGACAGGTCACGAGTTAATTCGGATTTAATATGGCCGAACGTTGTTGACCGGCCATGAGTAAACTCGTGATGTGCTTTTCTTTTCGCATCGCGGTTGTTTTCTCTGTTGGCGACTATAAAGTGCAATTGTTGGTCGGTATAACACAAGCGTTTCTTTCGCTTATAAGACCCGCCAAATCTTTTTTTGTAAAAAATATTTAATAATTTAAAAAATTTAAAAAAGCGATGAGGGAACGTAATGAAGAATCTTTCAATGAATTACACGCGGATGGTTTATCTGATTGTCCGAGTGAGTATGAATCAAATTGTGGTAACTGTGAAAATGATACTGTATCAAAAGAGAGCGACTCATACTTATTTTTATTGTTTTACTTCCATATCCAATTACAAAATAATAGCCGGTGACATGATATAAATTTTCTGTAAAATTGCCGGTCAACAATGTAATAATAAAAAGGAATATTTTGAGAATTTGGAAGTGGCAAACAAACGAAAACTAACGGTTTGGAACTAGTCGAATTACTTCTCAGAGAGATTTACTTTGATTTGGAATTATTTAATTTGATATACATATGTATACATATATTTATGTGCCACGTAATCAACGTCATAATAGTATGACCCATTAAAAACACAAACTATTTAGAAATGATTTGTTCTATAATAAATTTGCACTTTGGTTGTTTTTCTTTATTCGTTCCGAAATTTCTTTATTTTTTCTAAATATTCGGAATATATTACATTCTTTGTTATTTTATAATCTATATTGTACTCTAGGTATTTTAAACGCATTCTTTTATTTCCAAAGATTTTTTAAATAAATGAAATTTTATAGAAAAAGCACCAAAAGTCAAATTGAATCATACGCAGCAATTGGGAACAATTGCCATATTTATTTTTCAGATTTGTCAAAGACTTCCAAGATGACCAGACTTCTTACCAAAAATGCCAGATTTTCTTAACTTACAGGTAGGAAAAATCTGACAAATCGCTTTAAATTTTTTGTTTTGTAAATTATTATTATCAAACGGTAATCCATTATTTTAAAAATCAATTATAAAAAGATTTATTTTAAACGAATTGACACCTAGATGACGCTGAAGCTGGATATTGTATTACTATGAATTCCGATAGACAGCGACTGTCTACTTTACTAACCAAATACTGATTTTTATATTTTGATTCTTTTTGTGAAGTAAGGTTGATAAAATTGAAGCTTCATTTTAAATGCAATTTTGTGCTAATAGCTTAGAGTGAAATGAAAACAACGAAATAATTTTTTTTTTATTTTTTTAGAAAATGTGAAATTTAATTTTTATAATTTTTTCACAAATATTGATTTAGATCAGCAAAAGAGTTAAAACCAGAATGAAAGTTCTGCGGGGGTTTGTCACACATCCAAAAACCAAACTTGTGCATATGCTTAAAATACAAAACTGCATGTAAAATGTAGCCGAAACTGAATTTTCACATTAGTATGGTTCGACAAGTGGAAAGCGATTGTTCTATAAATCAAATACTTATATATTTGAACTAGTTTAATTTTTTTATATTTGTAAACAGTAGACGACTGAAGTAAATTTGAAATTTTCCGAATATTCTAATTAGAAAAAATTATTAAAAACCGAATTTGAAAGAAGATTTTTAGATTTTAGTAGATGTCAAAATGAATTTAACCTATATACTTTTCCATTTTCTGTTGATATTGAAACACTAGATGCAAATTTGCTATTGAAATCCAAATGCTGTCCGATTTTTATTAAGGCAAAATTTTAGAGAAGGAGAAATTACTAAATTTTATAATTATTTACCTATAAATCAGGGTTTCTTAACCTTTTTGGTGCAATGGACCCCTTTAAAAATTTTAAATATGTCACGGACCCTTCTTTGAAAAAAATTGTTTAAACGTCAATTATTACAAAATATATTCTATTTTATTATTAAAATATTTTTATTATATTTCTGGATATAAAATAATAATTGTAATTGAAGAAAATAAAATTTTCAATGTGAAGGCTGTTGCTGCTTTTCGTTGAGAATTTGCAAGAACTTTGTGGAACTGAACTGATTCTAACGCACTTTATTCTAAGTGAAATAAAAATCAAGGGCTACTCAGTGTTTCAAATATTCAAATTTTGACAAAAAAAAAATTTTTAAAGAAATTTTAAAAATTAGGAGCAGTTGGCGAACCCCCAAAATATGATCCATGGACCCCCAAGGGGTCCATGAACCACAGGTTAAGAAACCCTGCTATAAATCTATTAAGCGTGTTTTAGCCTAATTCGGAAGTACATATTTGTGTGAACAATTAATTTCGATATTAAAAAGTAATAAAACGGCATGTTCAATCAATATTAAAAATATTAAAAATTACAACTGCGAGTTAAATTTAACCAAATTTCGAAGATTGAGTAACAGAAATAAAAATCTTTAAAAAAACTGATTTTATATGTTTTTTGTATGACTGTGTATTATTTGTATATTTTTTTATGTTAAAAATCAAATTTGAGTATAATTTAGTAGTTTAAGGATTTTTATTGTGCGGCCCGAAGCAATGTACGGAAATGATATGCCTGATTTAGAGCATCAACAGAAAGAAAATCAAAATCGGCAAAATTATACTTTCAAAAACAATTTGATTAAACTTTTGAAAATTAAACTCTTTATAAAAATTGTATTTGATAAACATAAACTTTAAGACGATAAAAATGTGCTTAAATTAAATATAAAAACTGTTTTATCAGAATTTATGCCAGTTTTTTTTCTATGTTGCCAGATTTTTCAGTCTGTGAAATCAATATGGCTCGCCTGATCATATGTTATTATTTTATTGCATAGCTTGGGAAAGTTTAAAGATTGTAGTTGAAATATTTATAAATTAATATGGATACAAATAGTTTTTGGTGAGAAATAAATAATTTTATTTGCTTTACATAGATATATATATATATATATATACATACATATATATATATAAGAAAAGTCAACTTTCAAATGGACATCCAGCCCTGTCAAAAAATTAATCTATTCGAAATGCTAAATTAATTATGCCATTTCGTTATAAAAATTAACTCTATTTGCGCTTCTTAATTTTTTCTATTCCAAATATTCCAAAATCAGCTGACAAACAAATCTATTCTTTTTATTCCTTTATTGTAATGAAATAAAGAAAAACAACCATTAAATATCGCTTTATTTGAATGGATGGATGGATGATTGGGTACAAAAACCTGGATATAATATACATAATTGTTATTTTTATATATAATTTGTTTTAAAATATGATTAATAAAAATTTTACCTTAACCGAATAGGCCAATGAAAGTGTAACAGCTAATGGTAAACCCTCAGGTACGGCAACGACTAACACTGTTACACCAATAATTAAATGTTTAACCAAATTGTTGGCATATGTATTTTTCCATGGTTTTTCATCAATAACGAATGTTTTTATGCAGAATTGTATAACTAATATAATAACAGTAAGTACAGCTATTGTTGAACCGGCATAACCAATTTGTATTGCTAATTTTGTTAATTTTGCTTGTAATACAGATTTCTCTTTTTTATGACTACTCTCGGGGCTAGGACTTGATTGTTGTACATGATTACCATCCGATTCGGATTTAACCGGTGCTGGAGATCCCATATGACTATTACTAATCGGTGCACCACCATCTTCGTCTACATTTATAAATATATATACATATTTACATTTATATAAATATTAGAATATATTATTATAATGCATTCGAATTTTATATATTAGAGTATTTATAAATATTGTAATTTAGATTATATTTAAATATACATACATATAAGTTTATACGTATATTTATATAAAAAATTATTATAATATGAAAAACATAAAAAAAAATTAAAAATAATGAATCAAAAAATATGAATAACTTATTACTTAGAAATAATTTCCTATAACTGTAAACAAATTTTTAAGTAATTTTTGAAAATTTAAAATTATAATTCAAAAATGCAATCATAACCTGATATAAAAATAATTTTTTATGCTATGTAATTTACAATTCAATTATGTACCTAATTTTGAAAATTTTAATTATTTAAAAGTAATCATGACAATTTTAATTAAAGTAAACATAATTAATCATATTAGTAAAAAATAACCAGAGGAATCAAAATAAAATTAACATAGTGCTTCTATTTTTTTAAATATTAGTTTATAATAATTTATGAGGCAAAAAATCTAAATTTTATTTTATAATTTGATTACTTTAACTTTTCTTATTTAGTTTATTGAATTTTTCTTGTAATAAAAATAACATGCAAGTAGAAAACCCTAACTTGTTTTTTACATTTAACAATTATTTGCTTCATAAATGGTTGTAAGTGAGAGTTTAATTACACAACCAAAGAAAAACAAAACGAAACATACATAATTGTAATTTACATAAAAAAACTACTTTGTACCGACCGCATTGTACACAATGAGGTAGGTTAAGTGATGGTACCTAATTTTAGATGTCGAGTTTTCGGTGAGAGTGCACTTCTCCATAACGTAGTAGGTAAGCGTAAATAAACTATTTTTAGAAAGATGTCGGTATGTGTGTGCTAGTGTGTATCTCAAGTTCAGCTGAACCGATTTTCATGAAATTTTATACGTGAGTTTATTTTGACTATGGCACGGATTGGTCAACTTTTGGGATATATGAGCCTCTGAAACTTGACCTTTTTGCGGACCAATTTTACAATTTTGCTTTTATAAAGAGAAATAATCAACTCGAAATTCGGGGTGTTATCACAATATATCTGCAAATTTTTTGGTAAGATCAGAAGTCGGAAACCAAATTATGGGCCGATTTCACATTTTTTTCTATATCTACGGCACGGATTAATGGAATTTCTTGAAATATGATATTTCAGTTCTGCTTGTTACCGAAACTAACTGCTAAAATTTTCGGGAGATCCTTTAGGCACAAAGCGAAATTCTACTAAGAGACAAATTGACACTTTTCTAGGTATGTTACCTAAAAGCTTACTAACTTCCTTAAAATTGAAAGGATCTGTTCATAATCTTCTGTAACACTTTCACTAAAACTAGGCAATATACATTGCGGCCGATTATGTGCGAATCCTATCAGATTTTTTTAGAAATAATTACATATTTTAAGCTTTCAATACATTATGCAAATATAAAATAAAAATTTTTAAAATTAATTTTCACGTTCTATAAATTTAAAGAAAAAATTTAAAAAAATACGGCATTAAAATATTACTCCTTATGAAACCATTACTCAATTAAATCAAAAAATAACTAAATAAAAGAATATTACAAACTAAGTACTTTAATTTGATTACTTTTCACTTTTTGTTTGTCAAGATATTTATTAAAAATAAAAATGATCTCTGTACTAAATTCTATTATGATTGCAATTATTCAAATTATAAAATAATTTCTGTTTCATATTCCTTTAATTTATATGTAAATAAAAAATATACTACATAATACAAAACAAAAAAAAAATTGGAAAATTTTTCGTAAGAAACATTCACTAGCATTCTTTAACTTTGTACCCTTGAATAAATTGAAAATTTTTCTGACAAGTGATTCGATACTTAAAATAAACCGCCTCATTGCTAAATAGTGTTAGGGCGCAGGTAAAAATACAATTTTTAGTTTTATAAATGTTTGATTGCTTTTTCGTATTTCATGGGCTTATATGCAAGCGTATACTCTATGCAACTATATGATCCCATGCAATTAAGCAATCAAACATTTTGTAAACGCAATAGTTTAGTTGGTTAGATGCGCACAACGATTGTACAATTAAATAGTAATTACAAAACTAATTACAAAACTGAAATTTGCATATCTGCTGAACCTAACGATTCATTTGTCAGAATAAAGCCGCAATATCTAACTTCTTAACCGGTTTTTTAATGATCCGTGTGTGATTTTCTTTCACAATTAGGAAATAATCTGATCAAAATTATTTTTTTTTTATATTAATTTGGTTTATAACAACTTAAAAGTGCAGGACTGGTCGTCTAGCAAAATGCAGATCTAACGTCAATTTAAGTTGTTCAGCAATAATGTTTTAATTACTGTAGAAGTCAATTTTAAAAAAAGAATCAAGGCATAACAACACTAAATTTTATTTACATACATAAATTAGACAATTTGAATATATAGCTGAATAAATTAAATTGACTTTAGAATATTTTATTTATATTTTTTCTTTATTTTTAATTATCCAAAAACTTTTGCTAATTTCTCATAACTTTTTTTTTAAAAAAATAAATACTAAAATAGAGAAAAAAAGAGGATACTTAATAAAATTTTGACACAAAGAATAATATTAATGACATAAATCGATTTGAAATATTGAAAAAAAACCAAAAAAAAAAACAAATAATATATCCACTATGCATTTATTACGAATTTTTATTATAATTTCATTTAGTGGTAAAGGGGAGGGAGGGGAAGAGGAAAAAGATCCTCATTGAATTTTTAATACTAAATATTTATGTATTTAAAAGTGTGTACATTTATGAAAGATTAAAAATTTTACAAAAAAAAAAATAGAATCTCTTATTCCAAATATCGTATGATGCCCCGAACTATATCAGAACTACACTATAATTTTCTTGACTTCAAAATTGCAATAATAAAGTATTTTTACGTAATTCAGCTTATGAATTCTAATTGCTGAATTATGTATTTATACCGTATTGACGCAATTTTCAAGTGACGCTTTTTATATTTTTATATATCGTTCACATTATTGTAAATGAGCGTCTATTTAAATCTTAATTTATAATATCAACTTGATTTATTCGGCAATTAAAATTTTAAAATCATATTATATATTAGTTCGCCCAATATTTATCAATCATCAACGATATTTGGCTAAGAAAGGGTTAAACAGAGCTTATAAAACAAAAAAATTAATTATTCATTAATATAATGAGGGGTTTCTGGCAATGAATGAAATTTTTATATTAATATTAAATGATACTTTGATATTTGAAAAGAAAAGAATAACAGGATTTTTGTTTTTTTATCTGCGGTATAAATATTTCATTGTTTAAATGAAAATGATTTTGAAGAAAAAAAAAATTAATAAAAATATTCAAAGGGTTAAATGTACACGATGATTTCATATACAATTAAGCTCCTTGACACACCCTATTGTCGCGATTATTGCCAAGGACAAAATTACCGGTGAATATAAAGCATAAATCGATGAAAAAATATATTTAATTATTTTCATTAATATAACAAGAATGCCTAATACGGAAATCTTATACACAAACTTTCATTTCCTCTTGAATGTTTAGATATTGCAAAGAGAAGATAGTTAACAAGTGCTATCGGTTTGAAAATGTAACCTAATTCAAATTTTTCTATTAAAATTTACGACAATTATAAATTATTTATTATATACTCTACTCCTGGACTATCAAGTGAAGTTTGATTAAAAAAAATTTACAACCAGACGTATAAAAACTAAAAAACAATTTCAATAAAGGAGTTTTATCTATAGTATACCGACATTACCCCTTGCTGTATACTTTTTTTATTGTTTTTGATAATTATGTGATCAACTTTCTTATCTAAATATAGAGAAATTTAGACTATTCATTCTGTATTTCACATTTAACGAATTTTCTTAAGTAAACCCTTTCATAATTCCGTAAATCATTCAGGAATATCACTTTTAAAATATTATTTTCTTCATTACCACAACATCATATAAAAATTTTATAATATGAATTATAAACTTATATATAGAACACTCACTAAAACAAAATGCTAAAATAGATCTAATAAATATCTTCAACTTTAAAATTACAATAACACGGTATTAATAATTTACACAGCAATTACAGCTTATGAGTAACAATACCATATAGTTTTAAATTGTATGCTGTAGGCGGAGTATCGAAACTCTTAATGGAAAAAAATTTCACTTGATGTTATATTTTGTGGTATAATTATTCACTTTCGGATGATTAAAAATAGTGAATTACAGAATAATATAATCAAAAATTAAATTAAGCCCGTTTTGGTAATGCCATTTGCATATTGTGAACCGTAATTATTGCAACAAAATTTGATATTATCATTTTCAAACAATAAGTTTTATACATAAGTCACAGCTTTTTTAAGTTTTATTGTATAGAAATATTGGCCTCTTTTAAGTTAGATGTACCATCCATGGAACAATAATTTAAAGCTTATTTAACTTTTCATGCTTAAACATGCAAATGACGTTTCCAATTATAGGACCTTGATTCATTTTTTTTTTCCTTAATTAAAATTAAATAAGTGAATACATATATCATATATATATAAAATTTTATTCTTTAAAATAAATTAATAGATGGCGAATTCTCAGCATGTCAAATGCTTGCAATTAATGTTAATCATTTATTTAAAAATTTCATAATGCAAGTGTCATAAATTATTCTATATAGATAAAGTTAGCAAACCCAATTAATAATTTTAGGTTTTACTCATTTTTTTTTAGATTTTTATTTTTTAATTTTAGATTTTTGACGTATTAACATTATTGACAGATCTTTGACATACTGGAATACGCCCATAATGTAAAAATAATATAAATTAAAAAACAAGTTTTTCTTTGTATAATTAAATAAGAATTTATCACCTGTTAAGCTTTTGCTCTTCTTCTGCTTTTTAGCTTCTGCCAATGTTAAATTTGTTTTTTTTTTCACAAAAATATTTATATATTTTTACATATAATTATATTTTTGTTATAGATAAATTTCAATTTATTTTTTTCGATTATTTGTTAAATATTTTCGATTAACAATTTTTGATTTTTTAAATATGGACGATGATGGAACATGATCAATATTATGGTTAGGAGGATTGATTTGATTGATGTTCGTGTTTGTACGTGAAAATGGAAGTTGGTTGGTTGATTTGATTATTATTTGTTGATGTATTTGTTGATTGTAGTTGTTGTTGTTGTAATTGTTGTTTTTTTTTTTAATTTTTTATTTACGAACAATAATGATGATTATAATGGTGGTAGTAGTAATAATTTGTAGCAGTAGTAGATCAAAGGAGAAGTAGTACAAATAGTAGTGGTGGTAGAAATGATAAAATAGTCGAAATAAAAAAAAAAAAACATTATTTTTATAAGTTTGATTAAAAAATTTTTTAAATTTATGGGCTCCAAAAAATTTTATATAATAATTATAGGAAGGATGTTATTCACAATAATATAAAAATAAACAATCATGAAAAAAAAACAAACAAAAATGAAAAATAAAAAAAAAATTAAGATTACATTTAAAATTTTTATTATTTAATGCCAAAATTTAGAAGAAAAGAAAAGATAACAAAGAGCAAAAAAAAATTGAATTTCTATATTTTTGCAATAACATGCACAATGAAAAAAATTAATATTATATTCATTACATAAAAATACACATACATATTATACATATATATATATATATATATATATACATAAAAACGTACAGTACATTCGCAATTTACACGACGTAACACTATAGTCAAGCATAACCGAATCTGAATCAGATAATAGATTTTTTTTATATTCATAAATGTGCAATTTATTGTAAAATTTTACAACAAACTTAATTTATTCAGCAAACTGAAATTGAATTGCTGAATAAACTAAATAAGTATTTATTAAATTTTGTATTAATAATACAAAATCCTAAATTCATAATTGCGGCTATAAAATATCATCCCATGAAATACTAACGTAGCTTATAGAAATTACTGGAATATTTAACTTGTAAATTGTGTGATTGCTGAACTTTTTACTGCAATCACTGGAATTAGAGGTCCTGGAAATATTCGTTATATAATATGCGAGAAATATGTCCGTTTTATGAATATTTTTTTTCCTTCACGTACATACATACATATATTACGTAAATCACTTATTTTTAGGTTTAGTATCAATTTCAATTAATTTTGTATCGATTTTAAATGAATAAATGTATGTCATTGCGAATATACTATATTTTCTTCTATTATAAATAATAATTGATAACTATTTAAATAAAAATATAAAGATAAATAATTATGTAACTTACTTGATTATTAATGATATTTTAAGTTAATATAAAATTTAATAAATAATTTATGATTATTTGAATATTACCCTGACATATGCATACAAATGGAAGTCTTGTATTCAAAGGTTAAAAACATTTAAATATTAAATTTATTAAACAACAAAAATTGGAAGGAATAGAAAAAGAAAGCTAATTATGTTACCAAATGTGGTTTCTATGATTTATAATTTAGATTCAAATTTAATTTACTAAATAAAGTAATTAAATAACATTTCTGTCAAAAATCTGGATTTTCAAAAATTCATCTACACATATTAACAAGAGTTGGTTTGAATGCAATTTAATTTTTGAAAGTTTAAAAAGTTGAAATTTTTTTTTTGATATATGAACACAAATATGTATTTAATAATGGATTTATTCAAAAATATAATTAGTAAAAATAAACATAAGACTTTAAGAAAAAAAAACAATAAATCCTCCAATAATTAAATTCAGACTATGAAAAATAAAATGCTTAAATGCAAATAAAATTTTGGGAAATTTTTATGTTAATGCAATTCTTATATATATAGGTAGATATAAAATAAAAAAAATAATTCTATATACATATGTGCATAAAAAAGTTACCATAAATTAAAAAAATGTGTGTATGTAAACTTTTTTTCGTGAATTTTGTAATGTCGCGATCCAATATTCAAATACTTAATCAAAGTTTTAAATCTTCTTAATTCTGCACGTTTATTGTCCGGTTTCCGAGATGATACTATTTAATTTTGAATTCACATAAAATTAAATTTTTTTTCTTTCATCTTCTTTCTGTTTGGAATTTTGATATTCGTTGTACATCATTTTTAAAAATATTCTTGAATTTATCTGAATCATTAATCAGAATTAATCTGAATCTTAATTTATTTATCTGAATAATTTTGCATTTAGATTTTTTCTATTTTTATTTTGTAATCATTGCAAAATTTCTTTTAGGATACCAAAATTTTTATTTCTTTTATTGATAAGAAGAGAGAAAAGAGAAAGAGAGAGACTTAATCAAACATAAAAATAATAAAAAGTCTCCTACACTCAAAGGACTAATTAATTATCAGATATGAAAATGAATTAATCGATATAAATTTTACAATTTTTGTAATATGTACGTATATACAAATGTATATAAAATGTAGTTAATTTATTGGGGTATATTCTGGCAGTATCATTTAAAATATGATATAAAAACTTAGTCACTCAGAATACTATATGACACATATGTCACATTATTCCGAAAATCGGATTTATTATCATATTGTGTCATATTGATAGTCAGACTTGATTGTCATATGCTAAAATTTAATACTTATTTTAATAGCATTTTTATATAAATTATTTTAGTAATATTTTTATTTAAAAAAATTTTATATCAAAATTGTTCTATTCTCAGAGTTGTGTTGAGTGAGTTTAAGTCGAAAAATATGATGGTTTTGTTTCAGTTTAAAAAAGCGATGACGTTATTTTTTGACTGCTATAGACGACTGCTATGTCAGTACAAACGGTACATCGCTCGGTAAATAGCATAACCTTTGGAACAAATCTCACTGAATCGATTAATTTGAATATTTTGAATCATATATAAATTTTGTGTGCATCTAAATGATATAATAATAGAAGGGAATCTTCAATAATTCAGTAGACTTAAACTTAAATTTTAAAAACTGTTTTTTGCTTCATTACAGATTTACGGGAACTAATTAGTTTAAGTTTTCAGATTTTTAATATCTTAAATTTTTTTACGTGATTTTCTTCAAATTTAAAATAATATTTTAAAAATACTTCGAATCTTTTAAAAATATTTCGAACGTAATTCTTTTGTGGCAAAAATTTTTCGAACGTGCTGCATTTAAAGATTTTGTGTTTTGGTTTATCGAACGTCCTTTATATTATCACGGTCTTAGTTAAAACAGAATTTTCGAAAGTCCACAAAAATATTAAAAAAATTATTACTTTCAAAATTAGTTTAATAACATGCAATAACAAGTGTTACACTAAGAGAATATTTCTTATAATAAAATATTGTAAAAATTTAAATGATTTAAGAATTTTAAAGAATTTTATGTGTGAGAGTTGTGTAAGGCAAATTACAAGGGTTCTGTCCAAATGATTAATATGACAATAAGATGTTAATATTTTTTTTTTAAATGATATGACTATTTGGAATATTCGCATTTAACTTTTTATGATATATAAACAGTGTTCACGTCTATAACTCGATGTCGCACTGAAACGGGAAAATGTTTTCAGTTATAGAGGTCCCGAACAATAGAAATAAGAAAGAATCATAAGAATTCTTTATATAAGAACTGAATTTTATTTTGAGTTAAAAAGAAATTCTAGTTAAGATAATTCGGGTTCTATAGAAAAGTGTTTATAAATAAAATTATGCTATTGTTCAAAGGAAATCATATTGCATCGATGTAAGGAGATTATCGGTTTGAAAAGATTCGAGTTATAGAGGCTTAATTGTACATTTATACGTAGAGTATATCCAAATATTGTGGAAAAACGACAAGCTTTGATAATGGATGAAATGTTTTCATATTGTTAATTTTTCATATTGCAACGACATAGGTTTTTGAAATGATAGAAAAAAACTATGATTGCATATGTTCAGAAAAAATCTGGCAGATTTGATCTGTAAAATTGACAATAAACGTTTCGTATCACTTTTCCCTAATTTAAAATTATGTATATTGGCATAATGGTATTTGTGAAATTAGTAGTTTTGTAAAAATTTTTTTTTTGGAAATACAAATTAATGTTAATTTCAAATGTTCATGACATTCAAAAAATAATTCATAAATCTATTAAAGAATTATTTAAGATGATATTTAAAGTGTTAGCTCATTTTCATTATAATTTTTTATATATATAAAAATTAAAATTAAAGAAAAACTCAATTATTTAATCAATATGAACAAAACTAAAAATCACATATATTTTATTATCAATTTAATTCGGAATTCACAAAACATCGAAACATAAAAAACATATAATAATACAAAATCCAAATTTAGAAACTCTATCAAACCCATTAGGGTTGTGATTAAAATAATACAAATTCACATTTACAAAATTTTGTTAAATCTATCAAAGGGTGATAAAAAAATTATTAATAATTTTAAAACATAAAATTTTATTTATTTTTTGTTATTTTTATATTTTTATCACCACCGCAAAACAAAAAACGTTCATTAATTAAAAGTATGAAACCATAACCATTTCAAATAATTTTTTTTAAAGAAAAATTTATTAATTTTTGAATAATAAAATGAGAAAAACAATATGAATGATTAAAAATGAAATTATTTTTTATAATAAGCAAAACAATAACCAAAAATTAAAAAATTACTTCATTTCCAACATATTTAAAATAGATTTTAATTTTTATATAAATTTTAATTTGAATAAGCTGCATTATAAAATTTATTTTAAAATTAAAATCCGAAAAAAAAAATTAATTAATTACAATTCATTTAATAATTAAAAAAACAAAAAACAATATTTTAAATTTTTTGAAAACAAATAGACGAACATAAAAACTAAAAGTAATAATTAAATGATTTTTCCATTATTATTTTTTTTCAAATGTCATTTAAAGGAATAAATGTTGAATTGAAGCAAAATGCGTGTAGGAAGCAATGAAAAGTTTGAAAACAAAACCTTAATAATTTACCCTTTTTCATTTTTCTAATTTCAGCCTCTTGTTGATCAACAGCAGCTCCCAACAATGTAAATATAATGCCAGCTTGTGAATTAACACCAACAGCTGTAACTAACATTTTACCACTACCTTCCATAACATGTGTACCAGATAATACCATTGGGTCATAATCTGGTCCTTTTTTGACATGATCGGATTCTCCTGTTAGCGATGATTCATCAATCTACAAATAGCGACAAAAATACACAACAAATGAAAGATATAGAATTTCGCAATGTTTCGGTCTTTAATGACTTCTTATTTGATTTTTAAAAAATTGATTTCTTCGTGAGAAGGCGCACATTTAAATCTTATTTTCACACAACTAATTTATATACATATACTTATAAAAAAAACAACAAAATTCTCTCACCTTTAAATCATTACTTTGAATGAGTACACCATCAGCTGGTAATAGATCGCCATATTTTATTTGACATATATCACCGACTACTATATCACCGACATTTATATCTCTAACTTCACTGCCACGTATTACTGAAAATTTATGTTCACCCTCTATACGATTCTGTAAGCCACGAAATTGTCGCTCTTTTGAATAATCATTGAATGCTGTCACAAAAACAACAACTATAACGGAAATTAGAATTGCTAAACCTTCTATCCAGCCATGATGATCATCTTCTTCGGCAAGAATTGCTGAAAATACAGAAGTAGAAGCTAGAGGGTATAGGTGGAAAATAAAAAATAAAAAAACAAAAGAAAACCCAAAAATTTGATCAAAAAAAAAATTTTTTTTTTTTTAGGACCCAAGGCAGAGGAGAAATAAAATTAAAAATATTATTTAGAAATGGAGGGGGAAAAATAATAAAAAAATGTGGTAATTCACCCGAAATGAATTTTTTTTAAAATTTCATTCGAGGAGTGTTTTTTTTAATTTAAAATTAAAAAATCAACAAAAATTAAATAGTTGAAATTTGAACAAAAAGTAAAAAAATTAAATTGGAAAACAATAAATTTATAAATTAATTAAATTATTTTGATAATTATTTATATATATATTTTTTCTATTTTTGTTTTAATTGTGTACTTTTAATTATTCACAATCACAACAAAATTTTTATTGTCATTACAAAATTTCTAATTTATTTGACGTTTACTATTTTCTAAAACCTATGAAAAAAAAATCTATATATTAAAGTACAAAAACTACTGAATATAAATATTAATATAATTGACAAAATATGTGTATAATCAAAAACATTAAAAAAATTAATAGAATAACCAAATTATAAGAACGAGAAATTTAAATTATAAAAAGTTGAAAAGAACACATTATAGCACATTTTCATTTAATAATTTATATAAATCCTACGCAGAGTTTGTATTAAATATAATAGATTCAAGAGCATTTTCACTGACATTTTGAGTTTTCATTTATATTTCATATGGGTTTATATGGAAGTGCTCACACACACAACTGTATAATTGCATAAAATTAAGCAAGCAAACAATTTGTAATTACAAACTGATTGCAATTTTGGCCCTTATATAATCGGCGAAGCGAATTAAATTTTTGGCGAATATGAATTTTAGGTATTATGATTAGCAAATTCGCCTAAATTTTAGGCGAATGAGCTGTCAAATCTGTTGAATGAAAATTCTGTGTGACAAGCTTGGGAAAAGAAACCAAAATAAAACATGAGTGTTTTTTTTATTGGATATTATAGCATTTATTGCGTTATAATAGAAAAACCTAAACTATGTGTAAAGTAAGTTCATAAAATTCTACAAATTATTGTAAAAAATATTGATTGTTTACTATCCAATTAACCATTCGAGCAATTATTTTTGCAAAAAAGCATTAACAAAGTATGTACATATGTATGTGTGGTGTTAACCTTATTATTTTCGGTACGCATTTTGATGTCTTGCGGTAGCAACATTTTGGATCTGGCGATTGAAAACACTTTCATTATTGGCTATCATAATTTAAAACGTCATTCGATTCGCCTAGTCCATTTGACTCGCCTAGCCATTTGTTTCGCCGATCATAATAAGGGTATTCAAATAGTTTAGTTTTTTAATAGTTTTGCAATAAAACTGTAATTGTAAGAGCTCCGACAGACATGCGATTTTTAGTTTTGCAATTAGTGTTTGATTGTAAAATAGTTGCGCGCGCATCTAACCAACTTAAACTATTGCATCAATTCAAATCGAATGCGTTTAATAAAAATTGCAATCAGTTTGCAAAAAATTGCAATCTCTTTGATTGCTTAAATGCGTGCGACCATATCGTTGCATATGTGCGCGCTTCAATATAAACTTACGGAAAAAAAATAAGCAATCAAACACTTGCAACACTAGATATTGCATGTGTGCCAGACCCTAAGCGTATAAGTACATAATTAATAATCTTATTATCATATATAATATTATGTAAATTTATACTTACAATGAAGCTTGAATAATTTTATACTTATTAATTTAGTTAAGGTACGAGGGTTACAATTTTTGGGTTAATAATATATAAAATAAAAACAGGGCATCGAAAACTTTCTATTCTGCAAAAATTTTGTTCTAACAAAATTTATCGATAACTGTTGAAATTTTTTTAATAAATTAAGAAAGTTGGCTCTTGCTCTGAAAGTAAGCGAAAACCGTTTTAAAATAACATTCAATTTTAGAGTCGATTCAACATATTGACATATTTGTTTAAGATTTTTGTATAATAAAAATTTTTTGAAATAACACTCCCTCTTACTAATCAAATCTATTTGTGTACAATTTTATTTTTCTAGATCTTGAACAGTTTAGAAGTCTTGTAAGACAACAGACGGAATAAAACAAATATGCTATATATGTTTTCTGATCTTCCTTCCATATTTCATCTTGCTTTAATTAATATTTTTGATTATAGTTTATATAAAATGTAAATAATAAATTAAAATGGAAAAAAATAAAAAAAAAATATAACAAGAAAAAACAAATTATATAAACGCTATATAATAAACAACCAAAGTATCTTCTAACATAAGATTAGAATTTCTTCTAAAATATTAAGAAAATACATTGAAAAAACGAAAATTGATAGCTACATAAGAAATAAACAAAGGAAAGTATAACAAGTAAATATGTAAACACAATTATATTGAAAATAAATAAAGTTGGGTCAAACCAATGGTTTGTATTGTAGCACTTTTCCCTTCAAGAAGTGAAAATACTGCTTCTAAAAACAATCTAGGTGTACCTATTACACTACAAAAATTACTTTTATTCATATACGAAACCATTTCATAAAAGATTGCATATATTTAGGATGAGCGATTTATGCAGTCTTTGAAATAAACAAAAATAAATTTAAATAGGTGTTAACGTAATGCTCGATTTTAAGGGTTAATTGCGTGAGTTAAGAAAAATAATTATATTTTTAATGTCATGAAATTTACCGTTAGTTTTCTGCGTTTATAGAAACTTGAAGAAGACTTTCACAACCTATGGTCTGTAAGAAAAACGACATAAAAAATTTGGAAAAAAACTGATTTTAAATAACGGTAAATTTTAATGGGTATTTTGTTTTTTAAAATTCAAATATAGTACGCCGTGGTAAAAGGCAGCCACCATTTTTCTGCGTTTACAAAATTTGAAAACAGCTTATGGTTTCACTGCAATAAATGTTTAAAACATACCATTTTTAGGGTTTTAGGGGCGTATAACTTTTAGAAGGGGAGAGATACGTAAAAATTTTGTACTACGGAAATAAATTTCAAGTAAAGATCTATGCACATATATCAGCTTTCTATCTTAAAGGGTGTAGGAGTTTTGTAAACATGTCCACGGACGGACAGGCGGGCGAACGGATGGACAGACGGGCGGACGGACGGACAGAGTGAAAATAATAAGCACTTTTTTCAAAAATTTTTAGAAAAGTGCTTAAAAAGACAAAACATACAAAAAATATACAAAAAATATAAAAAATGAATTGAATATTTATAAAAAAAAAACTAATATTTTTTATTATACAATACCTATACATTTATATTAAGAAAAACGTTATACGTATATTTATATTATATTTATATTATTTAAAATATACAAAAATTTAATTTTATATAACTATAAATATAAAACAAATTTAAATTTTATAAATAAAACGAATAGAAATTATGGGTTGAAATCCTAAATGTGAATCAAATATATAAAAAGTTTAATTTATTCAATATCTAAAAACAAATTGTATGTATATATACATGTACTATACAATAAATCAATTATTTTTTTAAGATCTGGTTTTCATTGAGACACCCTTATACAAATCATACGATACTACAAATAAAATCATTATATGAACATAAATTTTAACTTCACTTTTTTGTACTACAAAATGTTTTATTGAATAATATTACAACATGTTTAATTAAAATATATTTTAAACATGTTAGAGATTAAATATTTTAAATATGAGTTAATTAAAATATTAAAATGTATAAATTAAATAACTACATACAACACGTATAACTTAATATGTATATCATATAAACATATTTTATTACTAATTATAACACGTTTCATTCATGTACATTACACGAATGGAATTAATATATAAAAACTTTGTTTTAAACATTAACATATTTTTACGGTGCAAAATTTTCAATATTGCATATATGAAAAAGCAAAAATCTATTTCAATTTATTTTCTACTTTTTTTTAATTATTTGAAATATTCACTTTACTAGCTTTAACAAAAGTTTAATTTGAAATGATAACAATAGTATAAATGCATATTTAATATTATATAGTTCACAAAATTTATTGTTATATGCACCATTGAGAATTAAATTGTATATTTTATTTAAAAAAAAGTTATTATCCACAACAATTAAATTAATGTTATTTAAAACATCAATTGAAACAAAAAAAAAAAAACAATATTATTGAATAAGTCAATTCACAATATTCGATATATATAAAAAAAGTCACAATATCAAAAATATATTTGAAATATTAATCTGTTAATTTTTTTTATAGATTGTGTGATAAATTCAATGTTGATCACACAATATATAAAAATTAATTGATTGTATGTTAATGTTGAAATATATTTAAAATTTTAAAGGATTAATTTTTTTTTTTTTTTAGTTTACTAAGAAATCCCAAATTATATATTTCTCTGTTTCACGCAGCTATTAATTGTAATATCGTATATAATAATTGATAACTATTCACTATTAAATTCTGAATATTCTTTTCTCTGTTACTTTAATTCTAATTTGTTTAGTTCTATTCTAATATTATAGTCAAAGGATGCGATCAACAGTACAGTGTACGTTATGTAATAATATATGTAAGTTTAGATAACATAAGGAAAAAAACTGAATTTAATTATAGAATCATAAAATGTTCTTTTAATTTTTATTGCTACATTTTTGAATAAATTTGTATGAATTCTTTCTTTATTCTGATTTTTATTTGAATCTTCCACTTATATTCAATTTTTTTCTATTCCAAATATTGTCAAATTACCTGACAGGTAAATTAATTTATTCTTTATTTTTCAATTGAAATGAATATAGAGGAAAGAGCCAATATTGAGATATATCTCGAATATGTTGATAAACGCTGACATCCAAAATGCAGTATTAATGGAGTACATTATATTGCACATTGTATACACTGTATTTGTGATTCATATTTTAGAATAAAAAATTTATACAATGTAAACAAAATCCAAATTGCTGAAAATGGGTTTTAATTATACCCAGTTTTAGCAATTTAGATCAGAAAGAAAGAAAAAGAGAAAGCAAAAATACTAAAACTACAGTAGTTGAACTGAAAAACACTTCATCGCATTTTGGATGTCAAGCAAGTTTGACAATAAAATACAATTATTAAATTATACGATCCTAGATTCTCACTGGTAAGAAAACAACTTTTTATACAAATAAAACAAATTAATTTTTTTTCATAAAATATGACAAGAAAAAGCGAGAGAAATAAATAAATAAAGAAATTAATATAAAAAAATAAATGAATAAAAAACCAATTTTGACAGGTTTATTATATTCTGATTAACAGAGAGTTTTCACTTTCAAAAATTAAAAAAAATTCTAAGCTTAAAAATTTTAAGAAAAAAGAAACTTAATAAGATCGCTTTATTAAATATCATTTTCAAATAACAGCAATAAAATATAGTTAAGTTCATGTTGGTAGATTTTAAAACTAAATTCTACTTTTATTAACGCTTTTCTAAAACAGATTATTAAAAAGTGAAGAAAACATCTCTACTTTTAAGAACAGTTGACAGCACTGCATAAATGACAATTAATTTTTGAAACTAAATAATGCTTTTAAAATTCATTAGAAACAATTCAATCTTTTAACAGTTATAACTTTTCAATTTAAATTTTTTTGTTATGTCAGTTTCCGATTATTTGCAGCATAAAATTTCATATGCTGATAATATGAGAATTGATATAAATAAATAAAATTCTTATTATTTATCGCCCGCGTTTTATTAACCAGTCATTGTGATACACTTACGCGTTATATAATAAACCTGTTTTTTGATAAAATTATATACATACATTTTCATTACTATTTATATATGATATACAAATATATATATAAATATATAAAGTAATCTAATTTTATTATATTATATATAGAGAAATAACTAAAATTCCAGGTAAAGTGAAAGCTGTGAAATAAAATGTGATCCATTTTTTTGGTTTTCTTGGCAATTTAGTAATTAATTTATTTTTATTAATTCCACATGTTTCATTTTGTTTCCATTTAAAAAAATTCATTTGATTTTTTTTTTTTTAATTTTATTTTTATTAAAAATATTTATTTTAATGAGATTTTAATTGGAAATTATTAAATATTTCGTTTTATTTTATATGCACATCATATTGTCATTCAGAAAAAAAAAATACAATAAAAAAAAAAGAAAACACAAATTTTTTTTAATTTTTTTGTTATTACTTTTGATTTTTTTACTCTTAAATACACACATTTCAAGCAGTCTCACTCAAGATAATCCTTCTTTCATATATAATATGTAATTATAAATTTTCCAAAAGACTTGTTCTGTTAGTTGCCCAACTTGAAGTGATGAGATATTATTGAAGATTACGGTTTTCATTATAGAATCTCAAATTTCAAAAATAATTTTATCCGGAAAATTACTAAATTTTTAAAGAACAACCTATCACGTGAAGTGATGCGACTAGCAGGATGTGGGTGATAATTTTTTGGTTATTTGAATTATTTCACATAATTACAATACTTTCATTTCATAATTACAATACTTTCATTTTAATTATCATAATTACGAAAGTATTTCTCAAGGATGTGTTGTAGGGCATGCCTCACACTCAGGCAGCACGGGGGCAAAATAGATCCTTATACGCGGTCACGATGCATTTTTATCCGGATTTTAAAAATTTCCAATTTACAATAAAAAGCACTCTTTATATACTTTTTAGTTCATTGTTTTTATTGGAAAACAGTAGTGTATATGTATATAAAAAGTGTTTTTTAAACATCTTTAGGTACAAATTCGTACCGCCCCTGATGTAATAATGTCACCCGTATAATTGCATAGATAATTTGTAATATGTAATGAAATAGTTAATATTAACATTACATATGGTATAGCGCCATATGATTACATATGGCGCATAGCAACTCGGAATTATGGACCTTTATTTTCGCACAATTTTATTGTATTGACATTGAACTGACAATTTTAATTTGGCAATTCTTTATTTTGAGGTAAAGCCTTTGTGAGATTTTTAGCTTTATTGTTTTTGTAAGATTTTTAGAGAGTAAAAAGGATATAGAAAAAAGCATGCTATTCCCTTTATCTAATATCTATGCTATTCCCATGCTTGAAATCATTTTGAAATCCTCACTGATTTTTTTTTTAAATTCATATTCCAGAACATTACATTATTCAAACAACATACAAATTTATTCGAAAATATCGTAAGTGTTGAGTTAAATTTTTTGTACTGCTGCTCGTGTGTGTATGTAAGCTTCCGAAAAAATCTATAATATTTTATGCATTAAAAAATAATATGGTTCATTTTATGGAAATTTGCAGAAAAAAGAACTATATTTATTTGTTTGTTTATCTATAGTAACAAACAATATTTAAAAATTGATAAAATTCAAGTTAATAAGTTTACTTTGTAAAAACAGGTTATTTATTGTTGAACTAAATCATGTGCCCCCAGGTTCGTAACGTCATATGTCGAATCGTCATAATACAAGTGTTGCTTGAGTGTCACTGCCGATTTACATTTTTTACCACATTACATTTTTTACCATATTTACGGAACGGATTGATGGAATTTCTTGAAATTTGATATTAGAGTTCTGCTGGCTAATATTAACTGGTGAACTTTTCAGAAAATTCGGGTGGCACAAAGCGAAACTCTACTATGAGTCAAATTTACATTTTTCTAGGTATGTTAGCTGGAAGCTTGCTAACTTCCTTAAAATTGAAAGGAAGTGTTCAAGCTATATTTTCATAATCTTCTGTAATAGTTTCACTAAACTAGGCAATATACACTGCGGTCGGTTATGTGCTAACCACATTAGATTTTTTTTAATTGAAAACAAATTATAGAAATATTATAAAAAAATCTGATCATTTGATTTGATGTCATCAAAATCGGTTCAGCCGAACTTGAGATACACGCGTGCACACACAGCCAGACAGATCGACATACCGAAAGGTTGCTGAAAATAGTTTACTTACACTTCCCTACCATGGACAAGTGCGTTCCCACCGAAAACTCGATATGCAAAATTTGTTGCCATCACATAACCAACCTATTGTATACACAATGTGGTCAGTAAATATAGACTAAAAAACTCAGAGAGTTTTTAAACCCTTTTCTTTTCCTCAAGTTCTATACTGATTTAGATTTTCGAACAAATGTTTACATACTTAATTTGCATATTTCCATATATATTAATAGCGATTGAGTCCATATTATCAAATATAATTTATTTAGAAAATTTTATTATTTATTAATTTTTTTTTTATTTTTAATCATTTCAAAGAATAGCTTGAAATTTCAATAATAATTTAAAAGAAAAGTGTTATACAGATTCATACCTACACAAGTATAGTTGTTATATACGTGCATTTTTTTTCATTTACATAGGAAATTATATAAAAAGTGAGACAAATTTTAAGAAAAAATAATATTTCATTTGTAATTTTTATAAACATATATATTATACTCATAAAAGTTAAATTATTTTATGGAGAGGGAGGTGGGGGATTTCTTTCATTGTAGTTGTAATAGCAATTCATTTGACTTGTATAACAGTTATATAACAGTTAGTTATCAGTAAACAATAGGAATAATAAACATTCATAGAATTAAAATTTTTGTGATAGGTAGAACATTTTAATTTTTAAATTAGTTTGTGATGGTGAGGAAGGACATGGGAAAAAGTAACGAAAGGATATTAAAAAAAAAAAACAAAAAACAAACAGAGACGTATTGATTTTTTTGAGAAAGACGTAAAAAAAATTTTTTTTTGCTTTCTAACTTTTTTATACATTATTTAGAACAATTAATCAAAATGTAGGGAAGTGGTTTAAAGTATAAAAAAAAACAAATCGAGTTGAATCTAAACATATATATATAAATATATATATATATAAATATATATATATATATATATACAAATGCATATGTATATAGAAAAACTTACAAACTTCTTCTTCATCGGAGGGTTTATAAAACGATAGACCAAGTGAAACTAAAGCAGCTACTTCTAATATAATTAGTGTTACATCCTGGAGAGCCTCCCAGACTAGTGTCAAAAATGTTTTTGGTGGTTTCGGTGGTATTACGTTTGAACCAAATGTTTCTCGTCTGTGTTCAATATCACCCCTACTTCCAGACAATCCTTAATAAAAAATTAAAATAAAGAAATATTTTAAATAGTATGAAATGATATTCTTATACAATATTAAAATTAATCTGTAATTATAGAATACATATCTAGATATATAGATATTGTAAATGTTACATGTTTGCGGGTAATATAACTTGTTTTACAGTTAGCTATTTATTTATACTAGTTACTAAGTAACATAATATTTACCGCGATTTTATAAATTATTATGATCTTTATTTCTTAATTATTTTTAAAATTGTATGATCATATTTTAAAATTACATTCTTGTGTGTAATTAGAATCGAACTGCTAAGAATAGCATTAGTTTTATAATAAATTGTAACTCAGCACGAATATTATTGCATTATAAAAATATTGAAGGAAGGAAATTTCTAAATAAGCTAAAGAATATTTATAATATTTCAAATTTGTAAAAATTATTAAATAAACGAAATAAACGCGCAATCATTGCAAAATTGAACTTTTACATTCATAAATATGTATATAAATATTCACACATATATATAATTCATTTTTCTGTGACATTCTGAGAGGTTAATTTGACATTTGATTTTGTAGTAAATGTCAAATATTTCAAAACAGAACTAGAGCAGTTATTTATAAGTAACACCCGCCTTTGTTATTTCAAATTTGGCAATGATCTCTTGGCGAGACAAAGTTGTACATAAAAAATGTTTTAATGTTCTACATAACCTCCATATAACAAACATCTCCACTTAACGAGCAATTTTGTTCGACGACAGTATCATTTAAAAACTTTGGGATTATGTCTGTTCGTTATATGAAGATTCCATTCTATATGTGTAAATGTAGCTGTGCTAATCAAACTTCCTTAAAGCTTTACCGCGACAATACTTAATAATAATATACAATATAACATGCACATCCATATAAGTTTAATCGTTATAAATTCAAAAAAAAAAATTACCTTCATTTGGCGATGTGTACAATTTTTTACATAAATCAAGGACACCTCCAAATTCATTTACTTTTGCTATACCCTCCCTACCCCGGTGCTCCATGAGCTCTCGTAATTGCTTAAGTGAGATCCCATATTGCGCCGGTCTTCCATCTATTGTGGCCATTTGTTATGAGTATATCTATAAAAATGCAAAATTATTTTTGTAATTAGTAAATTATTTTAACATTTATTTACAATACTTATATTTATATTTACTTTTAAGAATTTGTTCAAACAATTCTTAAAAATATTGGATGAATGGTATTTAAACAATGGTTATCTCTTTAACATATAGTCTGTCAAAATAAAGCATATTAATATATGCACAAATAATACAAACAAAAAAATTATAGAAAAACAAGTAAAATTTATAAGAAGAGCTTTTCGACATACATGGTTCATAAGATGAAACGATATACCAAAAAGCCAATTAAACCTTTATATAGCAAATACTCTTATTAAGAAAAATCCTATACAAGTAAGGTCTTCAAAACTACTTTTTCTCATTCGGTCAAAAATCTATTCCGGCACATTTTATTAAAAATTATATAGATAAAACATTAAATACAACAGAAAGGGTCCAGTTTGAGGAGAAAAATTTTTCTGTTTTGATTCGTTCCTTTGACTATACGACATTCATATGTTATTCTGCAGTTGTATAATGAATTTTCTTTATTTATTTCCATAAGAAATTTAATATGTACATGTTTATAGAACCAAAAATTTAGCGTTTCAATGAACATGTTTACCAAAAACTAATATTTTTACGGGGAAAAAAAGAAAAAGGTTGGACAGGATTTCAGATCAGAAATTTTTACTATATCTTATAAAATTAGGTATAACATTAGGTAACGGTAATGAGCACTCTTTGATGTATAAATGAAAATCTTGAGAATGTATACGTATATGTAATGTACAATTTGATTTTATGAATAAACTCTTAAAATAAGATACCTCGGAGTAATAGGGTCTACAAAAGAGAAACTCATTAAAAAATCATTAACTAATCCATTTATTTTTATGACGTTAATATATATTCAAAAAATAGTCTTTTGTTTAATAAAAAAATAATTAATAAAAGTTATTTAACTTTAAAAAAAAAAATTAAAAAATAGGCCTTGTTTAACTTAGTGTGTTTAATAAGGCGTATATTTTCTCGTTCTACGAGTACATAAAATAAAGTTCGGTCAAACCAATGGTTTGTATTGTAGCACTTTTCCATTCAACAAGTGAATATACTGCTTTGAAAAACAATCGATGTATATCTACCACACTATTAAAATTATTTTCACTCATATACGAAACTATTTCTAGGATTGCATATATTTAGGATGAATGATTTATGCAGTCGAAATAAATAATTCATTTCGAAAAAATAAATTTAAAGCAGGGTTAACATAATGCTCGATTTTAAGGGTTGATTGTGTGAGTTAAGAAAAATAATTATATTTTTTAATGTCATGGAATTTACCGTTAGCTTTTTGCGTTTATAGAAATTTGAAAAATCTTGCGGTTTCGAAAATATAAGGCGTCAAAAATTCAAATTTTACAAATTTCAAGAAGCGATAACTTGAGAGGGAGTGGAGATTAAAAAAAAATTTCTTCTAACGAAATAAAGTATTTAATAATATCCAAAAGCTTCTAAAATTTCCTACAACCTGGGGTCTAGGGGGTCTAGAAGAAAAAAGACATCAAAAATTTGTAAAAAACGGATTTTATGTAACGGTAAATTTTACAGCCATTTTGTTTTTTAAAGCTTAACTATAGTATGTCATGATAAGAGAAGTAAGCCACTGCCTTTCTGCGTTTGCAAAATTTGAAAAATGCTTATGGTTTTACTGCAATAAATAGTTAAACAATGGTATTTTTAGGGTTTTGGGGAGTACAACTTCTAGAGGGGGGCAGATAGATAAAAATCTTCTTCTATAGAAATATGTTTCTAGTAAAGATCTATGTACACATAAAATTTCGGCTTTCTATCTTCAAAGGTGTAGAAATTTTGTAGACATGTCCACGGAAGGACGAACGGACGACAGAGTGACACTAATAAGAATTTTTTTTCAAAAATTTTTTGGAAAAGTGCTAAAAAGTAAAATTATAGACACTAAACATAAGACAAATTTCAAAGTTAGAATGATTTTGTACTTTTGAAATCGTATTTTTTAATATTTTTTTATTCTTAGACAACATTTCAAATTCAAAAAGTTAATGAAGTTAATAACGCCTATAGGAAAATTTTTAATAGGCCTTATTAAAAAAAGTTTAAAAAATTGCACTTTTACGCCTTATTTTAGGAACTTTCTCAGACATTATTTTATAATTGAGAAAAAAATGAGTAATGTATGCATTGAAAGAGCATGTATGGGCCTATAAATTACTAAGTAAGAGAAAATATTTTGTTTCGTTTTTGTTTGTTTTTCGATGTTTAGGCTACATTATCCCGACCTACCTTATAACAATTATGTGGAAAATTTTCGTATATTTTCAGCATTTTCAATTTTTATAAACTGTATTCATAAACTATATATGTACATATATATGTACATATATATATACATTCTAAAATATGCTAAAAAATCTTACTGTTTTTTCTCTTTTAAAGTACTTGTTTTAATTTTAAATTTAATAAAATAAAATTACTAAATTTTGTAATTTATGTAGGTATAGAAATCTAATAATTTTTAATGAAAAATGTAAATAAGAAATAACAAGGAATAATTTTTTTCTATTTTTGTTTCTTTTTAATTTTTCGCAGACGCCATGCCATGATGTACGCACGTATAACAGCTTTTATGTATCCAAAATTTTCATTTATTTTTTACAATGCCTACACATGTACTCGCATTATAAATATACAAAAATATTTTACCGACCGCATTGTATACAATAAGGTAGGTGATGTGATGGTAACAAATTTTGCATATCCACTTTTCGGTGGAAACGCACTTCTCCATAGAAGGAAAGTGTAAATAAATTAAAGACGCATGTATCTCAAGTTTTGCTGATTTTGATGAAATTTTGTATGTGTTTATTTTGGCTATGGCATAGATTGATCAACTTTTGGGATATATCAGGTCTTGGAAACTGAACCTGTTTGCGTGTCGATTTTACATTTTTGCTTATATCTCTTTATATAATAATCAACAAATTCAATATTTAAGTTCTAGGTGTTAAAGCAATGAATCTATAAATTTTTTGGAAAGATCAGGGTTTGGAAACTGATCTGGGGGCCGATTTTACATTTTTACCATATCTGCGAAACGAATTGATGGAATTTTTTGAAATTTGAATTTTGAACTCTGGTTATTCCTAAACCTATTCCGAACCGAAACTAGTTGGTGAACTTTTTAGAGAATTCAGTATATTATAACTAAAAGTTTACTAGCTTCCTTAAAATGATAGGAAGTGTTCAAAATGCATTTTTATAATCTTCTGCAACACTTACCCTAAACAAGGCAATATATATTACGATCGATTATGTGCTGACCACATCAGATATTTTGTATTGAGCTACGACTGTTAAACGAATGGTTAACACAAAAAATATATTGAATGAACTTGCTTCACGAAAGTGTTTCACAAGATTGTGAAAATATCTTAATTGAGAAATATATATTTTTAAAATTTTAAAAGAAAGCTAAGTAATCTTTTATTGATATAAAATGAAAGATTAAAATCAATGTATCTCAACAGTTTACACTAAACAGAACCCCAACTGAGGATTTAATATGATTCACCTATCTTGGTAGCATCATTACTACAAGTGAGGAAGCTGAAGAAGACATAGTACTCCTCAGAAAATGGCGTACTCATCAATAGAATCCTACGAACTCAATGCAAGATCTTCTGGCCTAGAGGAATTAGAACAATGACCTGTAGGCACTAGGCAACGAAGAGCCAGTAAATATGAACAAATAATCTAAATTTGATCTAATGGTAATGCTGATTCGTTAACATTTGTCAAAAGGAGACTCTAAAATATATGTAAATATTTTCTTAAAAAAAAATATCTAAAATGTAATAACATCTCACAACGTAAAAACCTATTGTTAACACTTATTGTGGTGTATGTTTATCAATTGACTTAATGTTTGAACTTAACTCAGATGCAAAATTTTCATCACAACAATCGGTTAGTTGAGGAGAAATTGAAATATACGAATTTGTACACTCACAGGTTTTTACACAAAATATTTTATACATACGTTTCTCCATATTATACCGAAATGTAGTTTATTTTAAAGCTTAATAGGCTAAATTTTATACAAACACAATACCTCCCTTTTATTGCGATTGATAAAAATAGAGAGTGAACCAGAGATGAGAGATATTTGAAACATAAAATAAAGTCGAATATCACTTTATAACACGGAAACTAAAAATATATTTCCGTCACATGCTTTGAAGTCACTTGTTTTTTTTTTTGTTTTTTTTTTTGTCATTTTTTTTTTTAATTTCGTTTTATTTATAATATACTTTTTAAATTTAGTTAAAATTTTATTAATATATGTACAAAAAATTTGAAACAAAAGCTGTACATGGTACGCTAGTTAAATTCTGGGATTGGCGATTAGCAACTGAAAAAAAATATTATTTTTTTTGTGTTTTTATTTAATTAAAATATTCATTTTCATAAGTAAGGACTAAATTTTTTGAATCTAATCAAAAGCAATTCAAACTCATTCTTAAACCGATTCACAACTGGATTTCCAAAACATTTTTAAATTATTTCAATTTTACATCAAAATGAATGTACAGAATTAATTTTTATTTGAATGGAAATTATAAAATCAATCAACATTTTACTAAATCAAATAAACAAAAAGGCTAACTCAGACATTATTCATATAATGCCTGAAGAAAGGGGTTACATTTTGCAGACTTGATGACATTAGATGGTGTAATATCAAAATCAAAATGAATTGTCAAGATCATAATTTTTCAATATCGGAATTTCACAAATTCTGTGCTACTTACTCTATAAATTTTATTACCAATACTTTTAATACTATCTACTAAGATCAAGAGAGAAACCATTGGCAAAATTTTCAAAATAGAAAATAAAATTGTCATGAAATTTTTCGAGTGAATTTCATTTGTGTTTTTTACTTCTATTACTCGTATTACCGAAAAATTCTG